GCACGTACACGTGCGTGCGTGGGCACGTACACGTGCGTGCGTGGGCACGTACACGTGTGTGCGTGCGTGTGTGCGCGCATGTGCAGGTACACGGTCGTGCGTGCGTGAGTGTGCACGTCGAGGGATAGCCGCCCTTTACAATCGCTGCAACTGTATTTCATCAATGTTTGGATATATAACGTAAGGAACCAACATTTGATTAAAGTTTTAGACAATTATTTTTACTCGCCAACATGGGCGAGTCAGCTTTAGCTTTTACGGCGAAATCAGAATGTACATTTTAATCGTGGACGTAACTGATACAGTAGCGCGCCGCGTGGTAGTTATTTGTTGATAAACAATTTAGTATAACTGACTCTCTCCCTCTCTCTCCTCTCGCTCGCTCTCTCTTTCTCTCTCTCTCTCTCTCTCTCTCGCTCTCTCTTTCTCTCTCTCGCCCCCCTCTCTCTCTTCTTCTCTCTCGCTCTCTCTCTGCAATAAACAAATGTTTGCTGAAATGATGTGTACGCAACTGCGTATCTGCATATCTGCGCCTAACAAAGGTGTCACTATGCATGACTGAAATGTTACGTTTATAACCATAGCAACAGATCTCAGATGAGCCCAGTCGCTCTGCGGCACTTGTTTTAGACAATTCTCAGGAAATTTTAATCAAAATAATTGATATCTCGATTTATAATGGTCATAAAATATTTATTTTTTAACCAATTTTCAATATCTATATATCAATAGAAAGCTATGAATCTCAGGAATCTGAATTCATCTTAAAATGTCAAAATTGCCCCAAGTGACTCATTTCGCTATCACTGGTCACATATGGTAAACCACATAACATATTACGTTATTACTTACATTATCAATAGTGCATGTCATTAATTGCTTGAGCATTTGGTATTTATTCGCCAAGTTTCTACTCGTCGTTTCCAGGGGCCAACAACAGTCAAGGTTTGTCATTCAAGATGATAGTTCTAGTGAACGAACAACGTATTCACAAATCATATTCCCCAACCAGGTATTTTCCATTCCAATTCATGTGCAGCTTGAATGAGAAGTTCTCGCGATACAATTTGAAATTTATTTTAGTCTCTGATTGCACAAATATTTGTCAAATTAACATTAGAAAGATAGATTTACATTATAATTATATTGATAATAGCATGACACATTAACTGCATAAAATAAGTCATCTGTTTTGTAATATTAAGTTTGTAGTTGATTTTCCTGAATAGCTTTAGAACTATTTCAGCAAACAGCACAGGCCAGTAAACAGCACACCTACGTAAACGTGATGCCGGCCATGTATCAGAACAACTATGAAAACTTTAGAGTGCTGGGCGTACACCCCCCTGTACAGGTACCTATGCATGTCACGAGCAGAATTCCTACTGCTATGAGTAGTCAGGCACACTATTGTGCAGCCGTGCTTTTTTAGAAATTCCTATGCAATATCATTGTTCATATATATATATATCAGGAGGTAGATAATAGGGCAAGGAGTGTGACTTCAATAAAACAAGGGAATTCGTCATTTAGCTAGCCTATAATAATACTACGATTTTACTACGCGTAACTCCATCCAACTGAGCCTCGAATCGTACACAGTAACATTCGCCCTAGCATCCGTGCGAATTTCTTTGTATACACCCGAAATCCGGAGATACAGGCTAAAACGTACGCCACGATTTTCCACTCTGTTGCCAGCAAACTCGATGCGTTCAGTGCCGAATTTGAAACAAAAGGCAGCTACTAATTACACTGTCCACAGCTTGCTCTCTCGGCGAGGCGGTGTGGCTCGCAGGGAGATTGGACATCGACGCAACCATAGAAGCAACGGGCGAGTGCTACTGTATCCTATCTATGGCTGTAGCCGTGCAGCGACGCGGAACATTGGCTTGCATTACTCTTTGTTCTGTTGTTTCTCGCGAGAGCCGATGAGCGAAAATATCAACATGGCACCGCGTAAGAGAAAGAATAATCCTAGACAAGACAGAAGACGAAAAACACCACGAAAGAGCGTAGCTCTGACAGATGCCAAAATTAAGAAAGTGTGTGCTGCTGTCGAAGACACCGACGTGCCAGCATTAGCAGCTAACATTAGAAGCAGTGTTCGAGAAGAGCTGCATCTCGACCACGGTGATCGTGTCGTGTTTCTTGAACACATAGACAGTCTCAGACATCTCTTATTTACATGACGCGGTGACAGCAATATAGTCATAGCAACGTGTACACGAACCTCTGCACGTGAGCAGGAGTCTAACAACAATATTACTGTTTATTGGTAGACTCATGATGTGCTATTGTGCGGTCGGTTATACACGCTGCCGCTCAGCAGCAGAGCTGCTGCTGATTGTGGTGGGGGGGCATACTAGCTGTAAATAGGTCAGAGCAAAGGTTAGCTCGCCAAGTGTTGCGTCGATGTCCAATCTCCCTGCGAGCCACACCGCCTCGCCGAGAGAGCAAGCTGTGGACAGTGTGGTTAGTAGCTGCCTTTTGTTTCAAATTCGGCGCTGAACGCATCGAGTTTGCTGGCAACAGAATGGAAAATCGTGTCGTACGGTTTAGTCTGTATCTCCGGATTGCAGGTGTATACGAGAAAACGATTTCGCACGATGCTAGGCAAATGTACTGTGTACGATTTGAGCTCAAGTTGGATGAGTTACGCGTAGTAAATCGTAGGTATTATAAGGCTAGTCAATGACGAATTTCCCTTGTTTATTGAAGTCACACTCTTTCCCTGTTATCTACTCTTGATATATATATCTATATATATAATGGGAGGGAGAGAGAGAGTCATAAATATCCAGAGGATGTGTTATCCAGAATATTGAGTGAAAATCCAACAAACTAGGTAAATGATATTTCTATATGCTGCCATTTACTTGACCATGTTGTATAGGATTTTCTAACTGCAGAATGCAAAGACGTTTGTTACTCAATGTGCTAATAACTGTTGGAAAGGGTGGGGGGGGTTAGTTAACCAATTAAGTGAGGAGAGTGTTTAATTGTTGGTGTAATTCTATATATGTTTGCAGGAAGCTCCTGATCCCTCTTCACTAATTAAAAGTAAGTCTCCATATTTCTGTAGTATAGGAACAACAATATTTTGTCAGATGTTGGTTTAAAGGTGCAGTGTTGTGAAAAGTTCTAGTAATGAATGCACATTACTGATATTATTTCTCCTTCTAAAAGATGATTTCCTTTGATATTTTCAGGGAACAAGCCACTCCCCAATCTTCCAGAAAGATTAGACAAGCTCAATATAACTGGCAACCACTCAGATACCCAGACACTGGTATACATATCTTCTATATATAGCTATAATTGGCTATCTTGTGTGTGTTGTGTGTGTGTGTGCTTTGTTTGTCCTCGCTTTCGCCTGATTTGTCACTCAATCGACGCTAACTGAGATATATTCGAATCACCACGTCTGGTGAGATGGTTCTGGCTGATGAAAAAAATTAAAACAAAAGTGTTAAGTATTAAGTATTAAGCTCAAAAATTCGCAAAATATGCTATTCGTCAATACTGCATGGCAGTGGCGCTACAGCAGATCCAGCTTCACATACGTGGCGAATGTACACTGCGTCTCTTGACTGCCGCCGTATGCAGCATATTTCACGAATCACCACGTCTGAGGAGATGGTTCTGGCTTCAAACAAAAATTCTTTCCTCAATATGATGTGCTTACGTCTCAGACACCCGCCCGCCTACTTGCAGATCCCCCCTGCCTCACTCTGCTTTGCACGTACAGCCGTAACTGACAAACAGTGAGTCAGTGGCCAGTAGGCTGTGCCAATGTTCTGTGTACCCAGTGCAGTGGTTTTTTTTCAGTTACCTGAAATATTTAATTAACTTTACTCTGTGTCACTTACAATGGAGTTTTATAATTTAAAGACAACATTTGCTGCTTCTACGCGGTACTTTCTGGCTAGTATACCTATAATTTGGCTAATCTTGTGTGTAAGAGTGTGTGATGTGTGTGTTGTTCGACCTCGCTTTTCTCCGTGATTTGTCACTCAATCGCGGTAACTGAAGCATATATCAGAATCACCGACGTCTGGGAGATTGGTTCTGCGCTGAGAACACAAGATTTAAAAAAAGTTAAAAGTAAAAAAAAAAAATTGTAAAATCTAATTCAATCATCACCGTACGGTGGTAATTATTCAGGCGTGTCTTGTCGCCGCCCTGTATGCGTAGTCGGTTAGGAGATCGGCTTTTATAACCCGGATTCCCAGGTTCGAATCTCAGCTGGGAAAAAATGTTCTCCTGACTTTTTACTTTTTAGTATCTACTTTGCCACCTCAGCGTTAATTTCAAAATGTAAAAAATAATGTTACTACATCATTAAAAAAAAAGATTAAAAAGTTAAAAAGAGTTAAAACTTCATCAATTCTATTCATTCAATAGATGCGGTGCGTACAGATTAAGCAAATCACGTACGTGTGGAATGCCATGTATACCCTTAACGGCGGAGTGGCTTAATGCGGCTAGAAAATCGCGTCTCGCTACCCCGGGACTTCCGGGTTGGAGTGCTCAGCTGGGGGAACTTATTTTCCGCCTTTTTTCTTTTTTTCCTTTTACCTACCTCTAATATGAATTATTTTTAATTTTTTTTACTTTTTACTATATTATTTTTTATATTTAATGTCTTTTTAAATCTTTTTGATTTCTTACATTATTTTTTAGGCTGTTGGGATGGCATGGGATGGCAGGGCATGGAATGGGATGGGCATGGCATGGACGAATGGAATGGGATGGGATGGGATGGAAGCTGTGGCCATGGTGATTGCGGTGCGATGGGAATCGGCATGGCATGGCAATGGCATGGCATGGCATGGCATGTGGCATGGCACATGGCAAATGGCCTGGCATGGCATGGGTTGGGGATGGGATATGGGATGGGATGGCATGGGATGCGGTGCAATGGGATGGGAAGGGATGGCATGGAATGGGATGGATGGATGCATGGATGGATGCATGGATAGATAGATAGTTAGATTTGTTTGGGTATTTTCCTTTCAACCAAGCGGTCACCAACTGAGTAACGCCACTGATTTCCCCGGGCAACGCCGGGTATCCCGCTAGTATATATAAAGTTGTTCAGCCGAATTACTCGTACTCGTATAACTAGAGAACTCCGCAGCCTAGAGGAAAACTAAAGATATTTTCAGAATCAGCATGTCTGGGAGGTGGTTCTGGCTGAAACAAAAATTTAGAAAAGTTAAAAAGTTAAAAATTCATAAAAATTCTATTCATCAATAGATGGCGGTGCGTACAGATTAACGTCACGTACGTGTGAATCCATGGGTATACCCTTAACGGCGCAGTGGCCTAATCGCTAGAACATTCGTCTCCTACACCGGGATTCCGGCTTTGAGTCCCAGCTGGGGAACTTATTTTCTCCTTTTTTCCTTTTTTCTCCTCTACCTACCTCTTTAGTATGTATTATTTTTAATTTCTTACTTTTTAATTTTAATTTTTTATATTTAATGTCTTATCTTTTGATTTCTTATTATTTTTTACTGTTTGGGATGGCATGCGATGGCATGGCATGGGATGCGGTGCGAGGGGATGGCATGGCATGGCATGGGATGGCATGGGATGGCATGAGATGGGATGAGATGGGATGGGATGGGAATGGGATGGGATATGGGATGGGATGGGATGCGGTGCGATGGGATGGGATGGCATGGGATGGATGGATGCATGGATGGATGCATGGATAGATAGATAGTTAGATTTTTTTGGGTATTTTCCTTTCAACCAAGCGGTCACCAACTGAGTAACGCCACTGATTTCCCCGGGGTATCCCGCTAGTATATATATATATATATGTTTTCCCATAAAAAATAACCTATTGTGATCTAAACAATTCATATGGCATCCAGAGAGACATGATACAAGATTGCGTGGCACAGCTTTGCTGTTGATCCTGAGAGCTGCGCGTGGATGAGACGCGCAGTTCCGCGGGATATGCGCACGCGACCGCGGGAATGTTATGCGTATAGTATGAAGCGCTGTCTCCAGTGGAGACGTGCGCCAAATTTGAGACCCGGCGCACGTCTCCACAGCGGTCAGCGGATGGTCTGTAGTTTTAGAAGATAACAATGAAGACTTTGTTCTAAATAAGAACTATCGGCGGCTAAATAAGAGCAATAAACAGACCTTTGAATTTCTTGACTAGTCAGTCAAAGGGCTTGTTGGGGGTCCATTATGCAGAGCTTCCAATTCAAATAGCCCATGAAATTGTCAAGTGGAATTGTGTTTTTCGGAACCCCAAAGAAAATGTCTCCCTCTTACATGCACCCCCTCCCTGATCAATCACGCATTCAGGCGTAAACAATAACAGAGATGAAATTGTGTTGAGTTTATGGCTCTTGGCGCACGTGCATTGACATACAAGACTGATGAAAGCACAGGCACTTGGAATGTCTCAATAAAAATTAATCTTCATACAATTTTTCACAATGATCGACCGCCTGTGTGCAAAACAGGTGAACGTATGTAAAACACACCTTAAGAAATGCTGAGAGGTTACGAGGTTATCATCGCAGAACTCCCAACACCGCCCATCCTGATGTCACAAAGCTATATGTAAACAAACATGCGTGCTGCGAGGTGCGTGCCTCCGATATCTATTTCGAGGCCTGCTAAGCCAAGCATAAAGCGCGCGTGCAAGACGTCACACACACAGCTACGTTCATTGGCTAAAACAATCGAGTAGCACGGTTAGGGATTTTCGGAATTATTTAATTTTAAGAAAAACTTCAATGTTCAATGAATGACGCACTTGTTCACTTCCGAAAGCGGGTAAAAATGCCTAATTTTTGCACTTCGGTGCGAAATGCATCGGCCGGGCCTTTCATTATTTACGAAAAGCAAACAGTCTCGCCAAACACCTACACGCAGTAACGGGTCACGTCATTGACGCCCCATTCATGCCCATCAACGAAGAAGGCGGGGCTTATTCTGATTATGGAAATGCGAAAATGCAACAGAAGGACGTAGCGCAGGGTGCTAAACAGCGTGTTATTTTCGTATTTGTGCCAAACTCTATCGTAGGAAACCGTTCTAGCCTAGCAGAATGCCCTAGTTCCTGAGATCGGCGATTTGGTGGTCAAATGGGTCCCCATATTTAAAAATATAAGACACTGGTGCGGCGTAGGCTGTGATTGGAAGACACAAAGTGTCAATCCTCGGCGCGCCTCGGCATCATGCCCGCATCACGTCTAGGGATTGGAGTTGTTCATTCAGGGATATCTTGTTTTAGCCATTGCCGATCGTAGCAAAGGCGAAGTTTGTGTCGGAGAGAGAGGGAGTGCTTTCATTCAATGGAGGAGATACTGCCATCCTTCTCGACAAGACCAATCCGAATGGGTGGTGGTGTGTTCAGATAGGCAGTTCCATTGGATGGGTGCCAAAAGATTACTGGTCAATCTCATTGTGTGAGGTAAGGTCACCTCTACTGGTCTATATTGTTGTTTGGGATATGAGATCACCTCTATATATTGATCTATATTGTTGTGTGAGGTAAGGTCATCTCTACTGGTCTATATTGTTGTTTGGGATATGGGATCGTATCTACTGGTTTGTATATTAATGTGTGAGGCAAATGTTCCAATCTACTTGTCTATATTATGTCTGGTTTATGTGATTGCGTGAGAGAAGGTCACTTCTGTTGGTCTGTGTGTGGTATAAAGTTACCTTCATTGATCCATATCATCAACATTTTGTGTTGTAGTAATTGTATGTGTATTTTAGCTCATATAGACTTTGGTGCTTCTACAACTAATACCTCCACGCTGTCGAATTTTTGTGCGTTGAATTAATAATTCGCAAATATGCAACGGAAATCTCTCCTTACTATCGTAGGATGCAGAGAGTGAGGATACCCACAGGGCGACGCAAAACAAGCAAGCGTGTGTTTCTGGTCTTAAAAGAACCGAAGCGATGAAAACGCCCGATGGCGGCATGGCAAACGTCGGCAGGATTAGAGTAAGATGCCTCTTCAACTAACTTTTCTGTACTACAGAATTTTCTCATTCTGGATTAATAAATCGGAGGTATGCAAACGGATATATAACGTCTCCATTTTCTCCTAGAGCACAGAGGGTCACAGTCCACCTTGTGCGAGCCACGATGAGATAGGCTCTGACAAGAGTGATGATGTCCACCGGGTAACGCACAACAAACAAGTGTGCGTCTCTGGTCTCAAACGGACCGAGGCATTGAAAACGCCCTCTGGTGGCATGCCGAATCTTGGCAGGAATCGGCCTTTCGAGAGTGCGAGAAAAAACGATGCAAGCGAGATTAAGAGCACGGCTAAACAAACAAACAGCAAGGATCTGGCAATGACTGCTGGCACTAGGTATTGTCTTTGGCAACCGTCGGTTACAATGCAATTAAACGCAAAAGTCTTATCTCAATTTGCACTTTGTTGTGTTTGCCGATTCGCATTTTTGTTATTTTGCTATATTAACTGTTTTCTAATAAAGTGTTGAAGGGTGAATGTGTTTCCATTTGTTGTATAGGCCAGCTATGGCCTTGCCTGGTAAGGAGGAGGTGGCTCCCTCTACCACCGGTCACGGCAGTAGTCAGCCAATCCCGCCTCACGCAGATTGGTTCTTTGGGAAGCTAGGACGAGACGAGTGTGAGACACTGATGTCACACAACAAGGGCCAACCAGGCGACTTTTTAGTGCGAGAGAGCACCACCAGGGTATGCACCAATATCGTTACAATTTGTCCTGTTTTGCAAAACAGAAAAATCATATTAATTATTGAAAACAAACGGGGAGTCCTCGGGATATTAATTCTATACGTGCTGTGAATTCATATTTATCTTGTGTTAAATCCAAGAAATTAACTTACTATCGAAATTTTCAATCTGCCTTCGGGAAATCTTCATCAGGATGTGACGTCACCATAGGTGACAGTATATATTTCAATAGTAAGTTAATTTCTTGGATTTAACACAAGATAAATATGAATTCATAGTTTCAACGAAATCCAATGAACTTTCTTTACCTCCGCCCAACGGAGTTGGAGGAGGTTATGTTTTCGCTCTCGTGTGTGTGTGTTCGTGTGTTAGTGTGTTCGTGTGTTCGTGTGTTCGCGCGATCGATATTAGCGCGTCAGCCAGCGAGCCAGCCAGCGCAGCGAGCCAGCCAGCGCAGCGAGCCAGCGAGCGGCTGCTACGAGCGAGCGAGCAGCAAGCCAGCAAGCCAGCGTGTACATGTCAGTACGCTGGCGTATATCGTGGCTTATTCGTGTGTTCGTGAGTCGTATGGCGTATGTCGCTGGCGGAGGTATGCACTCTCCGTGAGTGCACTCTGTCTAGTTCTATAAGTGGTCTGGTCTAGGATTTAGGGTAAACAGTGTTGTGACCTGTTCTTAGTGTGTGCATGTTGTTTTCTTTCAGAATGGCGATTTTGTGCTGTCTGTTCTTGACAACAAATGTAAAGTGCATCACTTTCCATTCACAATGCAAGATGGCTTTTATCACCTTGGTAAGTCAATAGGATTAAAGGTTATTGCTGGAGAATATGCCAAGGGCATTTAATTTTTATATTAGCTCGGTTTTGCAAATTATTATTCACAATATAAAATCATAATCTTGCTGGACAATTTTACTATACAGGTGCCAATTTCGAGACCATTGAGCAGGCAGTGGGGCACTACAAGTTTAATACGTTGTCAGGAATGGATTGCCAAGTACGCCTGGTGAACCCTATGCGCTGTAAGAAGGAACGGAGCAAGTTCTTCTGCATGACTACGCACAACTAGCGCCACCTGCTGGATTGTAGTATGCCAAGTGCCTTCGTATTTAATAAACATAGATACGGTAATTATGCAATGTGAAAGCTTGGATTTACGATGGAAAGATTTTATACTTTTTCTAGTAAATACAATCATACGACCCCTGTTTAAAGGTAAAGTTTAATGAGAGATGATATTATTGTAATAATCAGTTATACATAAATGATTACGATACATGTTATGAGCTTCCCATACTCAAGTAAAATAGTAGTCTTTAGTGCGTTTTCCCTGCTCTGTCTGTAATTTAGTTAACACTGAAGTGAATATGATACAGTGCAATCAGATGATTATAGGCTAGCTACTAATTACGAATTCTAGTTTTAGCTATGGTGTGATATCTAGCTGTTAAAATCATTTTTAGTAGAAATACTAATATATATATATAAACATAAATTTGTTTTATTTTATAAACAGCTGATGAATTATACATATTGTTATAAATATCATCAGTCAATGACCATCAAAAATATCATTATATGATTATCACTACCTTCCTTGTTTGTTCGGCTGCTTGAATGTATCGTGATCGTCAATCTCAATAATTGTTAAATTTAATGGCAACTCTGTTCTTGCTAGTGGATATTAGCTGGAACATATATGTACACTAACAGGAAGATGTGTATTCTAGTATCGATACACATGTTCACGGTCCTAGTAGAGCGTATTAAGAAGCCCTTCTTAATACACTGATTACACTATATATGTATATATATATATTAGTGGTAGAATAGCAATAAGCTATCAAGTTGCAACAAACCTTTCATAATATAAATACTGATATTTAGATATCAGTCATGTGAATTTTCTTATATTATCAATGGCAGCTATAACTGTTGTTCATGTATAAAAACATTAATTGTAAATAAAATCCTTTTATTTTCACCTGAATTTTTATCTAAAAATATCGTTCGTACTATTTAACTTATAACATAACAACCTGATGGAAATGTACATCAGAATGCATTAAATCTGAAAACTTGATTACAAACATGTACTGGTCATAATCTGTTTTTTCAAAACACTTATATGCACTCACTGGCTCCTATCCTGTTTAAAAAACCTTCGAATACTGAATGCTAACCCTCATATTTTGATTGGGTTTGTTTTTAATGATAATTTCATATTATTTTTATCAGTGCAATCAACTGCTAGACGGGTAAAGTTTTATAAGGCACTCCAAGCTACTTGGAAATCCAGTGATGGGGCACTTTCCACTCTCCTGGATGTAGCTGTGAATGCACGGGTAGCAAAACACAAAACTGTAAGAGAAATAAAACACTGTGCCAACGATTTCTTGTTTGCAACATCCCAACCCAGCTTGGCTGGTAGAAACTAAATATGCAACTACGTGACTAAAATATACGAATAATATATATATACACAAACAAAAACAAAAATATACACTCACCCTGAGGTAGAGAGTGCAGTTTCATTGGTGCGTTCTTGTCCACATACTGGACACACTCCATCCAGTAGCTTCACATCATATACACCCTGCAGAAAAAGTAACAAATGAAGAGTGACATCTAAGAATTGCACAACGTTTCCTCCTTCGTAGAAAATGCTATTGCTCATATCAAGAACTACATATACAGTGTATGTCTATATGCATCTATGTACACTTGGGCACATTTTTCAAGAGCTACAGTGTATGTTAGTACATATGCATCTATGCACACTTCTTAGGCACGTTTCAAGAACTGTATGTCTTTGGTGCGCATCTATGCAGACGTACCTTGGGTGGTTCGGGGATCGGAAGAGCTGTGATGGTGTCATGGCTGCTGTGCTCACTGCGATACCACCACTCCATAAACTGTAGGAAGAAGACAGATGCGGACAGCCCTGACGACAGACACACAGCAACTGTGCCAACCAGTCTCTTGCACACCTTCCTAGACACATCACTCCAGCTGTAGAAATAACAGAATGGTCACGAAACGTTGTACATACAGCTAGTGCACTCTAAATCTGATGCTGTCATGGGTAGAATTCCTGACCGGTTTAAAGATGCTACAGTGTGTAGAGTTTTCTGCTAATCTCATTATCTTATCTGTAGTTCTGACAATGTACCTGTCTTCGGGCTGAATGAGGCTTGAGCTGCCTTCTACATTGAGTGCCATCATGTCTTCCATGGTGAGTGACTGCAGTTCGACATCTGCTAGTTTCAGCAGCGGAGAGTGAAACCGCGACTTGCCGAACACATAGGCGAGCCGATAGCACAACATGGCTCCTTCATACGTCATATGTGCATAGGGATAGGCTGCGAGGTACACCTTCACCATACTGACATATCGCCCTCTCTGCAAGATATATATATATATATATATTATTTATATAATATATAATATATATATGTAATAATATATCACGATTATGTTATATATACATGTATATATATTAATCACCAGCTGATTGAGCCGAATAAAATTGTATCACATATACGATTGTCTGCTGGTGCTATGATCATAATACGTCGACTCGTATAACAGCTGATAACATTATAATACAGTGTTAGAGCTTTAAAATAAAAACCACTCGCCAAACTGGGCGAGTGAGTCAATAAGTTAACTCGCCCAAATTTTAAAATAAAAATGCTTGTCAAACAATAGTGAAAAAAACACAAAAACACCATTGATTTAACTACACATGTAATTCCTTGATCACTTTTCTCAAAAATTCAAGGCACATCTCCTCTGAAAGTTCCTGTTTTCATTTTCATTTAATTTACTTTTATTCTCGGGCTGCTTTGCCCCATCAATGAAACGCCACGTTACGCCGATTTTATTGACTTGTTAACACCAAGGCCAACGTGACTTTTAAACAATCCTGCACCCCCCCTCCCCGTACATAAATCAATATGCCGCCCCAGGCACGTATACACAGCCACGCCGTGCTGGCGCTGCACGCTCTCACGGGCTGCTTTCTTCGGCGACCTTTGATAATATAAAGTGAGGATGTCATGGGATAGCCGCCCTTCACAATCGCTACAACTGTATTTCATCAATGTTTGGATATATATCGTAAGGAACCAACATTTGATTAAAGTTTAAGACAATTATTTTTACTCGCCAACATGAGCGAGTCAGCTTTAGCTTTCACTCGCCCGATATTATTTTCACTCGACATTGGCGAGCAGGCGAGTGCCAAGCTCGCACGCTGTAATATAGAGAGGAATCAAGAATTTCCTACCGAGTCTTGGAATCTACCATCTGCATTTTCTTCTCGCCATCTCTCAAATAACTTATCCAGTTTGGTTTTAATGTAGGGAATCAAAACCTGAAATAAATAACCATTCGGTATTTGGAATGAAAATATCGCATATACTTAAAACAAGCACTTGAACTAAAATTCTAAAAACAATAAATGCCACACTTGTATGTATATATTTATACATACATACACATGTATGTGCATGTGTGTGCGTGCATGCGTGCGTGTGTGTAAGCTGTATATTTACCAGGAAGGCAAGAGATTTCAGGTGAATTCGTCGTGATAGCTTATTGAGCTGGTTCTTTTCCAACGGAACTCGTTTCATTCCATAGAAGTTCTCCGCGAACGAAGCAGCTGTAACATAAAATCAATGAAGTTTAAATGAGGTAACAGTTACTCGGCCTTAAGGCCTTCAGTTTACAAATCACAGAGCTCCGGCAGTACAATAGTCGGTTTACTTAAATGTGCTGGCACTGGGAATGCTGTCTTCCACTATGCAGGCAACCATGTAAAAACATCTGTACGTGTGCCTGGCTTCACCTTCACTACATCTCACTTCTCTTATTCCAATTGTTCCTGCATGCCTGCTGCCAGCTGGGAGTTATCTTCGCCCTATTTTTGTCTACACCATGGTTTATTTATAGTAATGTTGTTTAGGTGACTGCCTAATAAATGACTGCTCACCTGTGCTACATAATGCATCATTTGGCTGCTTCTGTACCAGTTGTAGCGTTTCGTGCTTTCCGGCGACACCCGATGGCGCCACCGGTCGACACACAATGGCTAGCACACAATCTAGGTATATTACTTACCCGTTGTGTCTGGAGACGTTGTACCGGCCGTGATCGTCGGCCCCGGACCTCGCTAGCCACCCGGGCGCTTTGATGCTACTGCGCCCCCCGCAATAACCTATTCTGCCGTGTTCCGTATCGGTGCGTCGTAGAGTTAGTCAACCATGCGAGACGAGGGGCG